AAAAAAAAAAAAAAAAAAAACTTTATGAGAAACAGCAGTAACATCTGATTTGTTCATAATGAGAAATTCTGCAGAAATCTGGTCTTGTAGATGTGGAACATGCCCTACCTCCATGTCTGGATCCTTTTTATTGCAGCAGAACTGCTGATAATTTATAAGCTTGCCTCAAATTAAGATAATAGTTTTCTATGCAGTTGTTTACATAAAGGTGTTTTACTGCAGTTTCAGGGACATTTTTTGGAAGGGGGGGAACTAATTTGGAGGAATAATAGGACTGGAAAAATTTCAAAGGTTACTATTTCAGAAATACACAAGGTAGTGCCAGGCATGGTGGCTCACCCCTGTCATCCTAGCATTCTGGGAGGCCGAGATAGGTAGATTGCTTGAGTTCAGGATTTGGAGACTAGCCTGAGCAAGAGTGAGACTCCATCTCTAAAAAATAGCCAAGCTTTGTGACTGGTGCCTGTAGTCTTAGCTACTTGAGAGACTGAGGCAAGAGAATCACATGAGCCCAAAAGTTTGAGGTTGCTGTGAACTGTGACAGTATAGCACTCTACAGAGGGCAAAAAGTGAGACTGTCTCCAAAAAAAATTGAAGGTAATTTTCCTTGTGTCCTTGGTATGCAGCTATAATTTTTGTACGAAATATGTAAATTGTCTATTAATTCCTCACAAGCCAGGTTATTCTAACCTGAAATTTATGCATTAGAATGATCTTAATTGACAAATGGATATGGAACTAAAACTTGCCTGCTAAATTTAAAGCCTTCTTTCTTGTGTTCTGTACAACCACTCCGGATATCTAGTACCACTGGAGAGTAACACCCTTCTAGTACTTCTGTTTCTGTTTTCCACGTTTGATGTATTTTCTCTTGTTGGATATTCACATCAAGTGCTTTAGCAGATATTGTGCCTTTATGGAATACATTGTGCAAGTTCAAGCAAGTGAACATTGATTTACAGTGAAGATAGTCTCTCTTTATGGGTGTTTATATTAATTTGGATGGAAAAAAGTATATCCATGCAGTTGTTTTTATTCTTTTTAGCTGTGGCTGTTTGGAATCTCAATGAGTGAAAACACATTTGTGTCACACCCTCAGAAAGTATACGTGTAGTTACAGCTCATTAAGAAAGGAAAATTGGAAATGTTAACACAGGTATCATTATTGCTAGGTTCATTTGAGGTCACGGCCAGAACCCAGAGTTCTGAACAAAGGTGAAATCCAATATGGTTTTGAGAAGGGAATTCTCCTGTGGTGTTACACAAATGCACTTTGGGTGTGCTGGGCCCCCTGGAATTTCAGAAGCCACACTGGGCTTCCATCAAGGCTTACTGACAGTAATCTGCCTTCTCTTCAAAGGGGGAAGAATTGCAGTGGGCAGCAGTGGAAAAGGAAGAGGAGCTAATCACAAACAGCAGGATGGAAGGACCACAGGGACCACCAAGAAAGTTCAGAGGTGGGCATAGTTGGCCCTCTGGCCCCCATTTGAGTGTTATTTGGTGTTGGTAAAGCCCACTAGAGGGAAAAGAGATGTTTTCCCTGAGCTCAAGAGGGAAAGGAGCTGTTTATCCTCAGCTCAAGTGTCTGAAGATAAAAGCCTGTCCATTTTTGCCAAACCTTGAGCATTTTGAGGCCCAAAATAACCCCAGGCTAGGTATTCATTTTATGAACTTGTTTCTACAGAAATGTACCCCAGGCTGGTAGCATCCTCTGGTGATAAGTCTGAGGAGTAAAAGTTCAGTTAAAGCATCTTGAGAAATGATAGATCGGGAGAGGGAGTGAAATCAATTATGAATGTCAGCTCTTTTACTGAATTCTCTGCTTCTCTCTTTCATACATCTTCCCTTCCCTTCGTCTAATAAATACTGAGATGTTGACATCCAGGTCCCTTCTTTAGGGTAGTAACAGATAGTAAATGTTCCTCTCCCTGAGTTTCTGTTCATTAGTGCATAATAATAAATATACTACAGGAAATCATTTTCATTCTTCTTCTCCACTTCTTTCCTACAGTGGACATACTCAGAAACCACCAGGAAGATCCCTGCCAAATATAAGTAATTTAACCAAAATTGCTTTGCCAAATAAAGCTAATCCTTCTCATTTCTCCCTTTTGCCTGCAGAGGGCAGAATGATTTATTTGAGTAATGAAAAGTGTGAAGTTCCATGTGTTCCAACTGAAATCTAATAGGAGTCTTTTCTTACACAATTAAATGCAGTTGAACTAGAGGGGTGTTTAGTTTCTTGATTTTATTTTTTCCTTTCTGCAGTAATCCTTTGTTTTCTGCTCAGCACCTTCCTCCTCATGGCTATCCCTTAGAACACCCATTTAACAAAGATAGCTATCGGTATATCCTAGCTGAGCCTGATCACCACGCCCTTGACCCTGAGAAGCTTGAACTTGAATGCTGGGCAGGAAAACCTATTCCTGGACACCTCTACAGAGCCTGCCTGTGTGAACAGGTTTTGTTGGCCCTACATGACAGAGGTATGTAAGGTATTTAAGGTCACATCAGTTCAGGGTTGCTTTGAACTGCTGTCATTGTCAGTCTAGAAGTAGACATAACATCTCAGTCTCTTACCACTACACCAGCTCCCATCTCAGCCAGAATGTGGAAGAAATAATTTCCTTTTCTGTCTCTTTCTATAAGTTCTAGCCATTTTATATACATATATATAGTTGTAAAAACTTTCTTTCTTTTTTTGAAGAGTCTCACTCTTTTACACCAGGCTAGAGTGCTGTGACATCATCATAGCTCACAGAA